CTCCTCCTTCCTCTTCTCCTCCTTTGCAACTTCAACCTTTCTGCCCTCCCAACTTCATGGCCAGTTCCCAGTTACATCAATTAATCATTTTCTTCCAGAACAGCTTTAATGACAAAACCAAGCAAATAAAGAATAATTAAGAATTACCATCATCTGCAGAACTGGTGGGAGAAGGAATTGCCTTTGCAGTTAAGTCACTGGTAGAGCCCTAAAATCGAATCCCACCTTCTGAATTCCAGTTGGACATCTGAAGCTGGATACTCTTGCTTCCATTTTATGCTTTATGTTGATTTATTTCTGGTCATATGAGTTTTAATTGGTTAAGTCAATTTGTTTTGCAAGATAAAAACCAGAGCTTTTAGAAAGCACTTTTTAATTTGCAAATGTTCATTCCAAAGGGAGAACTATTTATAGTTAAAACCTGAAATGTATGAGGAAAAAGGTCATTGAAGTCAATGTCAAGGTGGTCAAACTTTACTGTCCTGGCTGCTTTTTTAAAAAAAACCTTGATGACCATAAGGTTGCCATTTTCTGTAGTAGGTTCTCCGTGAGCTTTCTCCTGTATAGTTGTACAGTATCATGAGTTAAAGTGAACCAAATTAAACTGTTGTGGCATATAAAAACAGCCAACAAAGGCAGGCAGCTTTTTTCCTGAACCCCCTGAGATTTATTCTGACAGTTTGCAACTCGATGAAATGGATAATGGAAGTCCCTTGTCACAATAACTCAGCTTTAAACGTATTGTTGGATTAATAGACTCAGTTATCCACTCTTCCAAGGAGAAAAATGACTTGTGGTTTCAAATCAGGCCCTCACTCCTGGCATCCCATCAAATTAGCCAAACAGGCCAAATTTAAACCCCTGGCAGAAGCCAGGCACTCTATGAGCTGTGTCATAAAAACGAGTTTATTTCTTTTTAATGCTTCCCAGTCGCCAGGGCAGCAGCTGTGGGTGACACACGGCGGTGGCCGTGAATCCCTGGAGTCGGGGATGTCCCAGGTGAGGGATGCCCTGTCCCCTGCCCAGGGAGCTCCTGCCTCTGCCACCTCCCAGTGCAGCACCAGGTCGGGCAGGGGGCTCACTGGGGTGGGACACAGCGGTGAGGGGCTGCAGGGCTGATTTCCTCTGCTGCAGAATGCCCTGGGGAGTGGGAATTCACAGCTGGGGGAAACAGCTCCTGCCTTCCCCCGGGCTGGTGGAGTGTCGGAACTCAAAACACCCTCAGACATTTTTGGAGGTTCCAGGCCCAAGTCAGAAAAATTTGAAACCCTGGCAGGCAGCTGCAAACAGCTGTGATTTTGGGTTTGAGCCA